AAGATCGTGAAAAGTTTCAAAACCCTCACAAAAAGAAATTCTGACTAATGAAGAAACCCATGACAAAGGGCTCCATTGCTTTAACTGCCAGACCATGAAAACCCAAGCCCCAATGAGATAGTATTTCCCTCCACAGCACAACCACCACACCCACCCAGCCCACCGCCATGGAGGTGGTTCCTGCACCTAGCATCTGTCCCCGAGGGTCTCTGAGACCGTGCTCATACATACTGGTGGGAGAAGACAGCCCCATCTTTGTCCGGTGGAGCGGCTGGTGGGTCTGAACCATCAACCTTGTCCCTTAGCAGCCCAATGCTTATTCCGCTGCCCCACCAGGGCTCCTTCTCATCCTCTAGATCCAACGGTACTGCCCCAGGGACGAGCCCTCACTCTGCTGATGGGTGTGGGAGTTGGTAGAGCTCTTAAGGAGAGGTGTGGTGTTACCTGAAGGAATTGAACATACCTTTAGGGACTGAATTGTGTCCCCAAATAATTCCTTAGCCACGGGAACAGTTTTCTCTGTTATGTTAATGAGGCCATGTCAGTGGGGCGAGAATCTTTACCTCTGAGATGTGAAAGAACAGGTAACACACAGGAACAAGCTGAGATGCCACACCAAAGGAAGATCGCTAAGGAACCGAGAGGAACCTTCCCCCAGAGCCAGAAGAGAGAGAAAGCTTTCCCTTAGGACCCCTAGAAAGGGCTTCCCATGGCACAGGGGTTCCAACACCTGGCTGGCAATTCGAACCTACCAGGTGTTCGGCGGGAGAAAGACTTGGCAGTCAGCTTCTGTAAAGGTTGACAGCCTTGGACACCCTCTGGCAATGTGTACAGACTATGAGAAAATAGATTTTTGTTCATTAAAGCCACTCTCCCACCCAGAGATATTTCTGTGACAGTAGCCCCACCCTAGGACCCGGCAAGGCCACCGCCACATGGGTCTGCAGAGGGATCTTTGCACGGGCACCCTGGAAATGTATGCAAGAACTCATTCAAGGAGACACATGCTCGAGAATACTTGTTGTGCCATCAAGTCGATTCCAACTCACAGCGACCCTGTTACCGGGTTTCTGAGGAGCTACTGTTGGGTTTGAACCACCAACCTTGTGATTAGCAGTCCCTTGCTGATCCTACAGCGCTACCCCAGCACTCCAGTACGACACTAGTCTTGCTTCATTGTTGAGCCAGGAAATGAAATCAGAGAAGAATGCACCAATATGATTCCATTCACATGGAATTCAGAAGCAGGGAAAACTAACAATGTGTGATTTGGGACAGGCATGTAGTTGGCAAAGCAAATGCTAAACAAAATAAGGATGTGGTTATCATGAAACCACACTCATGGTTCCCTCTGGCTCAGAGTCAGGAGTAAGAGACAACAGCCTGGCCCTCTGTCTTTATAAATAAAGTTTTATTGGAAAGCAGTTGCATCCATTCATTTCCGTATTCTCTGTGACGCCTTATGCACTATGAGGGCAGGGTGGAGAAGCAGAGTCAGAAGAGGACTTCTGATTTTCAAAGCCGAAATATCTAGTATCTGGTCTATGACAGAAGTCATGTGTCAACCCATAGTCTAAGGTATTGATGATGTTGTTGTTGTTAAGTGCCATTGAATCAGTTCTGACTCATAGCAACCCTGTATAGGGTTTTCAAGGAGTGGCTGCTGGGTTTGAACTGCTAATCCTTGGGTAGCAGTCTAGTACTTATCTCACAGTGCTACTGTGGTACTGATGATGTTCTATTCTGACTCTGGATAGAAGTTCCAGGGGTGAAGCTTTAATATTATTTAAACTCTACATACTCCACTGTCCCCAGTCTGAAGGATTCCCAAGACGTCCCTTTAAGCATGCAGCTGTGAGCTGGGCCCTGCCTACCTCAGCCCTGCCTTGCATGGGAACCCCCCAGCCCGGTCCATTGGATGCATCCTTGCTACACTACTCAATGTTCCTCCCACTCCTGTACCTGGGGCCACCCCTAACGAAAGCCTCCTCTGCCCCTCCATCCATCCATCCAACGCCTGCTCATCTTTTAAGGCTATCTCATGCCAACCTTCCAGACTTTTTCAACAACAGTGACCTGTTCTTTGGGGTGCCCCCACTACACCCAAGCTGTCCGTGCATCTGCTATAGCACCTTCAGGTCTTCCTAGTGATTGCAGGTACTGAGACCTTAAGTCTCGGGTCCTCCCTGGACCATAACTCTCCTGGGGGCAGGGACCATGTCTGTGGAGCCTCAGACCTTGCCGCAGACATAATCAGTTCACAACACACATTTGCTGGAAAGTACTTAAACAGAGATCGGTGTTGGAAGCCCACTGATGGAACTACCTGGGTTTCAGCTGGCGTTCATTGCCCTGTTTAGCGGGGCTGTGTAGCCTGCCAGGTGAGTATTTAAAGATGGTTTCACTCAGGAACACACCCTTTAGCTGTAAGCAGGCTCTGAGTGGTGAACACCCCCATGTAATCTGCGAGGTGCAGAATGCAGCTAAAGAGGACGTCCCGTGACAACTGTGCCCACAAGCCAAGGGCAGGGCCCCATGAGGCCAGAGTGCTCACCTCACACCCACTTGACTAATACTTCCTGTAGGTGTAGAATCAAAACCCCTTCCCGGTGACCTGACGGCACCTACAGTGTGATGGTGCTGAAACCTGGGGGGAGGGTGCCCAATGCTCAATTCAGACCAAGTAGGGGGCTGCCCTCCTCCCTCCACACACCTCTGGGCCCTCTCCTGTACACTAGGTGACCCCCTGCATCTCTTCTTTCCCACACCTGACTTTAAGCAGTCCAGGAAGGGGTGGGGTGGACTTGGGGTGAGCTGTGTCTGCATAGGACACAGTATACGAGGGTCTGAGGCTGGACATGCCTGTCTGGAAGGCCCTCGGGGTGTGACAGGGGCCAGAGGAGGAAGGGAAGAGAGCCGGCCCCAGGGCGGAGCAGCATCTCCAGAGAGCAGACTTGGGAGCCTGAAGAACACAGCTTTTGTCAAGCTGCTGTCTTCCAAGGCACCGATGGCCACAAGGGTGACCACCTGGCTCTCTGTAGACAGTCCATGCCCAGTCATGAGGGCGGACTAAATCAGGGTGGGGGTGGGAGCTGGGAGCTGGGACCAAGCCCACATCCTCTGCTGTCCGCTGATTTCAACTCATAGGGACGCCTTGTTACACAGCTGAACTGCCCCGTGGGGTTTCCGAGGCTATAAATCCGTGGGGAAGCAGACTGGCCCATCTTCCTCCTGCTGAGTGGGAAGTGGGTTTGAACTGCAGACAGTTCGGTCAGCAGCAGAGTGCTTTAAGCAGTGCACCACCAGGGCTCCTTGGGAACTGGGCAGGGGCCTGGCATCGGTTCTCAGGCAGCTCCTGGGTCTGGCAGTGGCAGCACTTTGGGGCTGTGGGCTCCAGGGCACCTTAGGAGGGGGAGGGGAAGAGACCAAGGGTATAGGAACACAGGCCATCCTTGGAGGGAGTTGGAGGGCTGAAGGAGCACAGTGCTTTGTGGGCCTCAGTTATGACCCAGCCGTGTCCTGCTGCTCTGGGCCTAGAGGGCTGCCGAGGGCTGGCCTGGCCTCAGTCTCTCACAATGCTTCAGGCTGGGCCATGGGCCAGATGTGGGCTCCAGTTCTACAGACCAAGTTCACAGAGGGCTTCTTCTGGACCCGCACCCTCCACAGTCTGTCTCCTCCCCTCTGCCGCTCACAGGTCCCTGACAGCTGGCCTTGGGTCCACAACTCGGGAACCAAGTGGACGGTGTTGGCAAGAGGCAGACCTGGAGCCTGCTGGCAGGACGGAACAGCCAGAACTTCACATCAGGTCAAGACAGAGCCAAGAGACACAGAAGACGACGCGAAGGAACACAGTGGAACCGGTCTCCAACATACCATGACAAGGTTTCCAGGAGGTTGCTGCCATGGTCTTATTAAACATGAGGAACCCTGGTGGCACAGTGGTTAAGCACTTGGCTGTGACATAAAGGGTCAGCCATGTGAGCCCACCAGCCGCTCCTCAGGGGAAGGATGTGACCGTCAGCTTCCATGACGACTTCCAGCCTGACCTGAGAAACCGAATGGGACGTTTCTGTCTCACAGGGTCTGCTCGGGATGCTTTCAATTGCAGCCCCCATGTTCTGGGTTCCAGGGTGCACCCACCTGTCCACTGTCCCGGATCCTCAGATCTCGCAGCCCCACCCCGACCCCACAGTCACAATGTGTCTGACCGCAGCAGCAGACCTTGTGTACTTTGGGCAATCTCGCGTTCAGTAATTTTGTCAATATAGGAGCTAACAGCGCTTTCAAACATAATTGTGTAAAATAAAAGATGATGTGGTTGTGTGCTCTCGAGTCAGTTCCAACTCATAGTGACCCTGAAAATCTCAACAGGATCAGAAAGCCTCATCTTTCTCCCATGAAGCAAACGGAAGATTCAAACTGCTGACCTTCTGTTTAACAGCCCAACTTGTAACCAGCTATGCAACCAAGGCTCCTAAAAGTATGATGTTGTTGTTAAGTGCTGTCGAGTTGGTTCTGACGCACATCGACCCTGTATAGGGTTTCTGAGGAGTGGCTGGAGAGTTTGAACCGCCAACCTTGCGGTTCAAACTGACCTTATATTCTTGTGCTTATCCTATATCTCTACATCAGGATTCCAAAAGTACTATAGCTTCAGATAGTTTCCATTTATGCTTTCTCACCAGCAGCTCCTCCGAACCCCTATACAGGGTCGCTATGAGTTGGATCCGACTCAACAGCGCTTAACAACAACAACAATTCTGACCGGATATGAAACTGACCAGGTACTTCTGTCCCGACAATCACTTCTCTTTCCCAACAGCCACGGACGGTGGAGGTGAGAATTTCAAACAAATATTTCCAGAAACAGAGGTGCCACCACACTCGGTGGGCAGGGCTGCATTTGCAGCTCAGCAGCTGGGTCTAAACAGTTAGACCATCCCAGCGAGCCTTCATCCCTGACTTTTCTTTCCTTTTGAGGAAAGACACGTCCTTCTTACCTTCGACAAGTCTGGCCATCTGTTTTTCGCTTTGGTTACAAGATACTGATGAGCCTGCTCACAAGCTAGTTCTGAATCCGTAACCTTCTGCTTTGGTCTTAAAAGAAAGAAAGAAAAAATAATTAATAAATACTGACGTTTGCGACCAAACGCGCTCATTCGTCTCCCGAGGGGCTCCCCTCCTCCCATCTGTCTCAGGGGTCCTGGTGCAGGAAAGTACTGGACGTTTGTTGCAAAGTCCTAGTAAAGTGTATTTCCCATCTGGTCTAGCTGAATTCTTAAACTATAGCCTGATTTCCCCAGGCACACATTAGGGGAGTCGTCTTAAATTTGTGAAGTCCTTGTTTATTTTCACATAAATGCTTTTTGACTTTTTTGTGTTTTGTTTTGCAGTTTACAAAACAAAGGCTCATTTATTCTCAGGATGGGTGGGGGTGGAGGCAGAGCATCATCTAACATGAAGCGTCTTAGGAAACAGCAAATCAAAACTTTCATTTCTGAGTTTACAAGTTGGAGTGAAATGCAGATGAAAGGAACTCGTTCGGGAGCAAGGGGTAAAGCAGGGATCACAGAATTCTCAGTCTTGGTCTCGGGCTGATTCCCAGAGGTTGGGCTGGTAAGGATGGAAAGATGATCAAAATTCTGATATGCTTACAATTCTCAGGCTGAGACCCTGAGTTAGACCACAGCCAAGTGTGAGCTGCTCGTGGAGGTCCCCACATTCACCCACCCAAACTTGTCCATTCCGACTCAGTGCGAGCCTACAGGGCAGAGTAGCACTGTCCCGGAGGGGGGTGTCCTCGGCTACATCTTCACAAGAGCAGTTCACCAGGTTTTCTCTTCTGCAGACACGCTGGTGGGTTTGAACCGTTAACTTTTGGTTAATGGCCAAGTGCTTAGCTGTTGCTCTTCCAGGATTTTGCCTCGAGTTGCCTTGCTCCCTTGAGTGGCACTCCATACTAGGCCACTGGCACTTCTCCACACTCAGATCTACGGAGCTCTGGCAGCGTAGTGCTTAAGAGTCGGGCTGCTAACCTCAGGGTCAGCAGTTCGAAAGTACCAGCTGTTCTGCAGGAGAAAGATGAGGCTTTCTGCTCCAGTAAAGATTTACAGCCTTGGAAACCCCATACAAGGTCACTATGAGCCGGAGCTGACTCCACGGCACATAACCAACCACCACACTCAGATCTGCACCCAAGACAGTCACCCCCACTCAGCAGAACACTCAAGATTGTCCCCCGGCAAGGCCAACCAAGTACAGACTCACTCCAACTGTTTCCCACAATGGGACCACAGCTGCACATCTGCTCAGACTCGATACTTAGTCAAGTCCACGTGTGGGTGATAAATGTATCCTGCTTAAGGGTCAAGACCCCATACAGAACCTTGTGTGAATTTCTTCCCTAGAGACCCCAGGAAACCAAGATGGAGAGACAGAAAATGCAATAAGTGCTAGCTGTGGAACATATATGTAAAGTGCTTACAAAGAAAACAACAACAAAGTCTAACATCACCAACTATGCTAACAGTTGAGAAAATGTAACAATTTTTGTTTGTTAAATCCTGGAAGTCAAAGGTTTCTGTGATCCACTCAAGAGGGTTGCTTTGGGTCTGCCCATCTGTGGGTCAGCAGCACGGTGACCAGCCACCATGAAGGTAATGACCAGTGGGTCGCCTGCACGTAGACTCAACTGGAGTTTTCACAGCAATGCTGGTGTCACCATCTCATCTGGCAGGAGGAAACGATGCTTTAGGAGGCTAAGTAACGTATCCAAAATGGCACAGCTGGTTCTTGGAAACGCTGGCATCCAAACCCAAGTCTTTCTGATGCCATAGTTTCCTTTTGTTTTTAATACTTGTCTTTTTTCTAAGTTATTTTTATCTGGAGCTATTTCTTCTGTGAACACCAGTTTTCATAGGACAACAGCCATTAACTGTTACCACCCCCTCTCAAACAAACATAGAACCCCCACTGCACCACCGAGTCAGTTTCTACTCATAAGGAAACTGACTTGACAGGTTTCCGAATGGAACATCTTTATGGGAACAGGCAGCCTCATCTTTCTCCTGAGGAGGGACTGGTGGGTATGAACCGCTGACTTCTCGGCGCCCCACCAGGGCGCCGTCAGAGCGGCTATATCGGACAGGAAAAGCTGTCTTTGATTTGGGCTGCTCTGAGGAGCCTCGTGACTTTTGCTGATTTCTATTTCATCATGTGTAGGACTGCCCGGTCCAGCACTGAGATCCAGCGCCTGGAGCTGTCCCTCGCCTAGAAGGCCCTGCGCAGTAACGTGTGGCAAAAGCAGACAGTGAAGCCAGTTCACAGACAGGCAGATCCATAAATTAGACAAGTCGTCATTACGACCCACGTGGTGTCTCTTTTCAATCCCTTCTGAGGAACGTTATCACTCTCAGCTATCCCGGGCCACCCTCAAGTTCCGTGGTGACTAACAGTCTCCAGCGCCTACTGGTTGCTACATTTGTTGTGGCCAGCTTGACCCTAGACACCCGTACTGTGCTGCTGACCCGTGGACCATACAAGGAAGGTCAAGTTCAAAGCAGCACTTGTGGGTGAAGTACAGAAACCTTTGACTTCTGGCATTTGGCCAACAATTTTCGTGTTTTCTGAATTGGTGGTCCGGTGCTGAGGGGATGGGCTCCTCCTCGCTCCTGAGTTGCTGTGTATGTGGCCCAAATGAGGACCTGCCTGGTTTCATTTGCTCGCCTGGCCCACCCCCCTTTACTGAGACACTCTCTGTCATGCATCAAACCTGGCAGATACTGTGGTACTATCAAGTTCACGGGTCGTCTTGGACTTCTCTGTGTCACCTGATGCTGTTCACCCCCCACTCTCTTTAATGGGAGGTGACACTGCTCTCTATACGGCGTGATCCACACACAGGTGTACGGATACCTTCCGTCCCTCCTTGCTCAGCTCTGCCCCTTCACAACCCCCTTGTTGTTTTCTCTGACCCCAAAGGTCATTTACTCTTCTCGGGTCTCCAGTGACCAGGTCCATGGTGTCTACCCACAAATCTGTACTGCCGGAACTCTAACCTCACCTGGCGTTCACTTCCATCTCTCTCCAACTGCCGATTGGACTTCCCAGAACCATGGAACTTCAAGGGTGGACAAGGACCCACAGGCTGACCAGCCTAATGCCCAGTCACTTACTTTATCATCAGGGGCTTAGGGAAGGGTGATGGATTGTGCTGGAGTTTTACAATGACTGTTTAAGAGGAATGTGAGTTCTAACTTGATATATTCCTTTGCCTTTGCCTTTAGATTTCCTCCAAATCCTACCTGCACCCAAAGGGCTCACCTGGGCCACCCCAGAAGTGCTTTCTCTTACAGAGACCTCGACAGGCACGTGCTGAGGAACGTCAACACGTCCAAACTGACCTCACAATCCAGAGCCCCTCCCCAGCTGCTTTCTCTTCTAGGGTACAAGTCACTGTGCTTACTCCAGAGTCCTCCTGGTTGCCCACCTATTGCTCCCACTCCCATCTGGCACCACTGCCCCCTCCAGAGACACCAAAAGACTTTGCTCTGAGCTGCCTGAATGGCTTTGCTCCTCCATTCCAAGCGTATTTCCCCTTCGACTGCCTGGCTCTTTAGAACCTCAGCCATCAGCCGGCTCCACACAGTGGATCAGTCAATCAGAAACACACACCAAGTCCTGATAATTTTTGTTTGTCACTTTGGTTATAAGATACTCAGGAGTCTGCTCACAAACTACTTCTCAATCCGTAGCCTTCTGCTTTGGTCTTAAAAGATAGGAAGAAAAGGTAATAATAAATAGTGTGCCCATGAATCACATTTCCGCAGACACAGTACCAAACAGTCCACCGTCCACATCCTCAAGGAGCTCATACTCCTACAGGGAGACACGGACAACACACACGTGGGGGAAAG